AGTGCTGATGAATATTCACCATGCTGGTTGTCCTCTGTCCATTGCATTTGGATTGGATTAGTTTCCACCTTTGTTAAAAACTGTTTAATATTCTTGGCCAATTCAGAGGCAAATAACTCTTTGCCCAGTAGATTCAAGCGCTGTCCGTGCCTAGTAAAGTGATGCCTTTGTAACTCAACTTCCATTAATTTTGCATTTGAATGTAGTTTTATTATTTTCTTTACTTGCCTATTAAATTTAATAACCTCTTTGTTTACACAGGAAGTATTTATGAGATTATGCCTATGTTGTGCGTTTATTAAGATGATGTTTAACCTCTTGTGCCTTTCCATAAATTTCATTAAGCTTTTTAATGCTTCATTTGTGTTATTTTTACTTATATCATTAGCTCCTGCCCACAAGACCAGGATGTCCTTCTTGCTTAATAGGGCAACTTCCTCAACTGCCGTTTCAAGAATTTCTCCCATTTGGGCTCCAGATTTAGTAAATCCAAAAATCTCACAACTGTGATCCAAATTAATACGTAGCTCAGCTTCACTTTCTTTTAACATGACTATCTCCAATTATTAGTATTTTGTTATTGTATTTCCTCTGACTATCTGCACATTTAGTCCTATATTTTTCTAGGGTATATTTCAATGTATGACTTTGTCCCACGTCTTTCTTTTCCAAGTTTATCAGTTCATCATCTTCTGTGAGGTTAGGTAACAGATCATATTTATTTATACTCATGGGTATTATTTGTATTAAGTTTCTGTTCATAGCATCATGATTCCTTTTACCTCTCGCTGTTCCTAATACCCAATCTTCTTCCATGAATGTAGTTTTTGTCTGATTATGCAGATCATTACTTAGTTCATGCCTCGCATTCACACTTGGTTCTTCTTGAAGCACTTTAATTATTTCTTTGTACGATAATATTTCATCTTTTGCTTTTTGGAGTTCACTGTTTAATTTAAAGCAATATTGGCAATTTGTTTCAAAATTATCACTTTTAGTATCAACTTGTAACTGGGAACACTTTCCACTATGCACCTTACTAGGTGCCATCTATACAAGGGTTATTGTGGAAAAGGAATGAGTGTTATAAATTATTACAGTGAAGAAAATGGTCTACTAGAGAAAATTCTCACTCTTATCAGGTTTCTTGAAATGTTTACAAATTTCTGTCCCGACCTTAACTCAAACTGAAAAAGTAATTCTCGCAAGTGCCTAATTTAAGTCCGTGAAATTAACCATTCTCAAGCTTAAAAACCGTTAAATTTGAATTGTATTGGCAATAATACAACATCAAGTCAAATGAGGTACATAAAACTATGAGTAATACATCTGAAACATATATGTATTCTAAAATGAAATAAAAAGTTCATAATGATCTACCAGACTATACAGTGTCACATTCTGCTCTTAATTTAGCCTTATCCATTGGACTTCAAATAGTATTCCACATGCTAATCAAACTGGGTATTAACATCTAACCACAACACATTAAAACAAGATTAAACATATTTTTGGGGATATAAATATTAAACATTAAGTTTCTAAAGAAAATTATAATAAATAATTCCAAATATTAGTTTTCATTTAAATAAAATCTATATGATAACCACTATAGTGAAACTCACTTGTTTCTGTAGATGTGTGAGCTTACTGCGGCTGAACAGAATGCCAACCATATGCTCCTTCAAATCATTGCTTTCTTCTCCTTCACCCTTCCCTTCTCCCACTTCAGCATCTGGAGGCTGCTCTCCGAGAATTAACTTTCCAAACACCTACAGTAAAGCCAGTAACAATTACACACATTTTTCATGTTTACATATAAACACAAAATCTCTCCATTTTGTGAGACTTTAGGTTCTGACAGGCAAATTATAAAGCAACGACCTCCTGCGATGTGATGCTGTGTAGCTGAGTGCGCGAGTATCAGTACTTCTCATGAACCTGCTGTCTCCATCTTAATGACAGACAATAGAGTGAGCAGGTTCCTCCAAAACTCTGATACCTTGTTACCTATGTACCTGATCACATGGTTTCAGAACCCAGAAGTCAGTTTTCTTGTTTGCAGTTTCATTGGTAACATTGAATAATAACCAACCACAAATCATAATCTGCAAAGAAAGTAGGTGAGATAGGAAAGGAAGGGCTCACAAGACTTACTATGTGAAAATCATCAAAGAACAGCGATACTCAATGACCAGTGCTGTTACAATTAGCAGTGAATTTACAGTATAAACTAACATTGAAACATACACATGATAGTCATAACCTTATGTCAGACTGAAGGAGTCATTCTCATACGTGCCTACAGCTTAACATTTATTTCAAGTTTCCTAGCTGTTTACAACATGACAACTCATTAAATAACTCATCTTGATACACTGCATATGCTGATCCTATATGTACAGGGAAGATAACAAAGGTTCAGAACACAGAGCTTTTATGAATACTGTACAACTGTTTTAAAGTACTGCTTGCATCTTGAAAACCCTTTTTGCATCACACATGAGCACACATAAAGACATACACAAATCCACATTTGTGTTAATGTTGTAATAAATTAAATTCTGAATCTTAATTGTAATAAGCTGAGAAATCATGGCTGACATACAACAAGAAAAATAATGTCTGAACACACCTGTGAGGTTATCAATCTGAAAACTCTCAATGTTTCTGTCTCACAATTGCGCTGCTGTATGGTTTGTGCGCTGTGCTGATGTCCAATCTTCAGGCTCTCACCCTCAACCTCTCCCAGAACACGTATCTGACGGAGACGTAGCGAATTGTCAGGTCCTTTCAGTTCCAAGCGGACCACTGCATGACGAGCATCTAAAACAAATTAAACATAACACCTTCATATGAAAAATTAAGTTTTCAAGATGAAGAAAATAATTTCACTTTGTGTGTTTAATTAGAGAAGTGACCGGTTATCTCTCCAGTAATAAGAAACATAGATGTTCATCACTGCAGTAAGACAAGACTGACACTGGAGTCCACATTGAGAAAGAATTATACAATCAACATAAACACAACCACAGCATTTGAAGTAATCATCCCAATTATACATCTGACTCCTTTGCGGCCTCCTTCCATGTGGTATCTAAACCAAAATCTGGTTTGCAAACTTATCTTGCACATGCATGCTATATGTTCATTCCATTTTCACTTCATAAATTCAATAGCCAACATTATTACATAAATAGGACAAGTCCTGAAGCTACCCATTACATCTGTGATGTCCTCAATAAGTACTCACTCTTCAGGCCACTAGTCTTTTGAACACTTCATTACTGCCCTAAGAGATCAAGTTCTGTATTCATCTGATGTAACAAGGAAAATAGTGACTTCACAAATTTTAATCTAGAGAAGCACAGTAGTATACACTTATCCTCAAAAGAGCAACACCATTCAAAGAAGTTATATATACTGTCATGTGTTGGGTGTATAATGCGACAAATAACTTCACACTGTATTGGATCTAGTGAATTTTTTCCACTCGCTCTCACAATTACACAATTCACAATTATACAATTACTGCCATCGGCAGTATCACAACTCACTCCGGTGAATGCTAGATTGCAACTGACTCCCGCTGCACTCAGCGACTTCACAATCCTCACTGTGTCACTCCTGATCACACACACTATATAACTGCTCAGCTGGCTTTTTATACTGTTCGCTGTTGCCTCGTGTTACAGCGGTGCCCCCTATTATGTCACAGTGGGAAGTGCTGTTATGTCACCACGGGGGAGAGGGGTGGAGTCTTGACTGGCCTGTTAACGTAGCAGGGGCAGTGCTGTTATGTCACCACTGGTGGGGGAGGGGATGTCCTGCATAGCACAAATATGTCACACTGCTCCCTCCTTAAGGATGTTCATCCCGAATAGCCTAACGGTGCATCCCCATTCCTTTTCTTACAAGGCTGTGCTTGCTGTGTCTCCTGTTGTTTCAGCTACTCCTTGCAGCAACTATTCTCTGGCCATTACATCCTCCACTCCCTTCTTAGGATTTTTCGTCCTGAGCAATTCCATGGTCCAGCGTCGTATCACATTCTGTCCTCATTCATTCTCGCTGGGGAGGCTGGTACTTCTACATTACCGGTTCCTCCTGTATTCCTTGTTTCCTTTTCCATTTCAGAGGGCGTCGACCCCTTCACAAGGTTCAATTCCTGTTTTGTCATGATCTGGCAGAAGATCCAGCTATTTGCTTCACAATCTTCCTGCCAACAATCTCGTAGAAGATCATTTTCAGAGTTCCTCTCCTTCCTAGGTGCAATTGTTGTCCTGACCTACACCCTCCAATAGCGTTCTTGGTTGCTACCTCTTTCTTCTGGTATAGCAGCCGTCTGCTGCCTATGTTCTTTATTCCCGTTCTTCCTTTTCAGGTTTCTTCCTCAAAGTTGACCCTGGTTGAATATTTCTTTATGAAATCTCCCTTACGCCATGTCACACCTGCACGGCGGGTCATCTTCTTGTCGGCTGCAACCAATCGCTTCCTCCCGGGCCCACCAGCTCCCTGAGTAAGATTCTTCTTCACGACGTCTCCCTTGCGTCGTGCCACTGTTGCAAGATGGGACATTCTTCGGTCTATTGGCATTTTCTGTGCCACTTTCTCATGGCATGTTGTCCCTCTGCGGGCGACGGCCAATTTCTCCTGGGGTTCACAATTTTCCTATGTTGAATTTTTCGGTTTCTGGCGGCGGCGCTCCGCGGCCAGTTTTCAGTCCCTACACATTTTCTTCTTCGGTTCTCTGACCAACATTACTTCAGCGTCTTCTATGGGGACCTCTTCTTGTTGTGCCACCGCAGGTTTCATGTCCACTGAGGCTGGGTTCTCCTCTTCTAGACGAGCCTCTGTCATTCCTCAGCAGGCCATCATCTCTTCCTCTATTTCGGGTTTAAATGCGGACACCATCTCCATGTGGTTGATGCCAATTTTTTCTTGCATGGCTTTCGTCCTTGCTTTGATCACTTCCGTTTCTGCTTGGGTGGCTTCCGTTTCTGCGATCAACTCTATTCACATGGCGGCCATCTTTTCTTGCCCGGCATTCCACCTGTTATCAGCCCTTTTCTTGGCAGCTTCTCTCTTGGCCCTCAATTCTTTCTGCAGGAGTTCCACCATCTACTGTGAGTCCATTTTTGTCTTTCTCTATAATCTTAGTCCAATTTTACATCTAAGATCGAGGTGTGTTCAAGTTCATAAACCAATTCTGACACCAAATTGTCATGTGTTGGGTGTATAACACGACAAATAACTTCACGCCGTATTGGATCTAGTGAATTTATTTCACTCGCTCTCACAATTACACAATTCACAATTATACAATTACTGCCACTGACAGTTTCACAACTCACTCCGGCGAATACTAGACTGCAACTGACTCCTGCTGCACTCAGCGACTTCACAATCCTCACTGTGTCACTCCTGATCACACACACACTATATAACTGCTCAGCCGGCTTTTTATACCATTCGCTGTTGCCTCATGTTACAGTGATGCCCCCTGTTACATCACAGTGGAAAGTGCTGTTATGTCACCCCAGGGGAGGGGGCAGAGTGTTGCTGGCCTGTTACCGTAGCAGCGGCAGCACTGTTACATCACTGCTGGTGGGGGAGGGGGTGTCCTGCATAGAACAAATATGTCACTATATATATATATTTGTGACACTGGTATCCTTTTATGGAAACCTGAAATTTAAGTCAACTTACCCAAAACAGGACAGCTTACCCAACCAGTGGACCGGTTCTCAACTTCGACTTGACGCAGTTTGTATAATTCATCTGCATTAGGACCTGACTGGAAAGTTACACTTGATACTTTGTTCTGTAAATGGAAGATAATTATACCACACAGTTATTATAGTCATTAGTATTCATATTTAGTCTTCAAATTTTGCATGTAAATAAATATAACGAATACAAAGACAATTTATTTTACTCACCGCCAGATCCCTACAGTTATCAATGTGAATGTAAACTATTCTCGGGAATGACTGGGGGGCGCACATTATGGTTATTGTTTTGGTCTTGTTTCTGAAATGGAAGTGAAAAAAAGAAAGTTTGGTTATTATATTTTTGAGGTAATTAAATAAAATGGATTTAATGCTGTCTAAAGTCAATAACAGAGGTTAATTGTTACACTATGTGTACATTTTCCACCTTCTTCAAAGCAGTTATCACAGAAATATGAAAGTAATGCAAAATAATTCTCAATGTCTTCAGCATTATCTGAAATCAGAAGTTAAATTTTCTCATGTTTATATACCTTTTTGGTACTTGCAAATAGCTGCTTATTATGACCTTTTTGCATGCTAATACTGTTTCTTGCTTTGATATGATAAAGCCCATCTCTGGAACATTAAAAATTCTCACTCTCTAAAGCATGCCATGAAATGGTTGGCTTTTGCCTAGATCATTGGTCCATCAACCAGTACAGCAGCTGATCTTCCCTGGCAACATATATTCTAAATTTTCATTCTCTGCATTAACATTTGTACCTCTGCCAATGAATCTTATTAAAACTGGTAAACAATGTTGAAAAAGTCAATCCATAGTGTCTATTTCACTATTTGACAGGTCAATGACTTCACAGAGATGCATTATTTGCAGCTTCATGTTTAGGTGTGCTCATATCTGTCTCATTGATGTAACTGGAGCTGAATCCTCTTCAATGCAACGCAGAGCACAATCACAAAAACTTCCTGCTGCTACTCACTAGCCAAGTGGTATAATATATAATGAAACAACAAGCTAATGGACTGAAAAGCTCAGGTAATATCACATAAAGTTTTGAGGGGACCTGATCATGAAGCAGTCAATTCATGCTAAATGCAGTTCTAAGAGCATCCCCAGAAGACATGAGCTTCATAGTCACTGCTTTAAGACCTTCAGATCTCAACAGCATTTAGTTTATCCACTCTGTACATAACAACATTAGAGTTGGGATAGCACAGTCGGTGTAGTGACTGGCTACAGGCTAGACTCAGTGGTTGGAGTTCGAGTCCTGATAGGGTCAAGAATTTTCGCTTCTCCATGTTGTCCAGAGTGGCTCTGGGGCCCATCTAGTCACCTACCAAATGGGTACCAAGGGCTCTTTCCCTGGGAGTAAAGTGGCCGGGGTGTGAAACTAACCACTCAACTCCAGCCTGTGCAGAGGTTGACAAAATGTGGATCTATATATCCGCTCCCCCATACACCTTCATGGCAAAGTGTTTAATTAGCTAAGCACAGGGACAACTTTACATAACAACCTTACAACATTTCAATGAAGAACTTCACTGCTGTGAACGCGTATCCTCCTTGAACCTGTGTTCTAATGGGTCCCTGTGTTATAAATAAAGTGATCTCTTCTAATAAATATAATCTAATTTACTTAACTGCATATGTTGTATAGTTACCTGTCCTCATCTCCTGACTCCCAGAAAGTTTCAGTGGAACTATCTGTGAGGCTGCCAATCATTGCTTGTCTGCTTGATGCCTTGAGTTCAACACTGCCTGTCAGATCCTTTAATGTTTCTACACAGCATGTAACCTGCAAAATAGGATACACAAAATTAACTTCAGCAACAGTGCATTTTTTGCAGTACTGTTTATGATATCATGCTCTGTGGTGATTCTGTAACAATAATTCGTTCATAATACCAATATCCTGGTTGTTCCCCATGGTCTGAAGTGTATTTGATGTACAAGACGTTACTGGAGGTTGGCTCTACTGCCACATTCAACTGATTTATTGTCATTATATTGACAGATATAGAAAGTAATCATTTTAAGACTATGTATGTAAATATGCATACACGCTTTGCAATTCAATAATACAAATGTGTAAATCAGAACACCTGCGGATGACCCTGTAAGCATCAAAACATGTAGTGGAACATCAGTTAATAAACAACAGTTGCACTGACAGTGGAATTTGTATTATTAAGAATCATCTTCTTCATTATAACTAAAAAAAACAAATTCTTTTGCTTGTTCCTCAATAATTTAGATCAAATATTGCAGCCAAGTGGTCAGTACTTCTGCTTTATATTCAGGGGGGGTTGAAGGTTCATTTCTTGACGTAGAGCATGGCTACAGTGACTAAGGTTATTCTGGCTTCTTCAGTCCCTTGAGATAAATGGTAGGACAGTACAGTGATGAGTATGGTCATCATGGCCAAAGTACCCTGTTTTGGCCAGTCAGGCATTTAAACTATGCTAGTGGAAGCACGCACACACGCCACTAGTAGAAGCACATAGACAGTCCTAAATATTTATTTTTAAATGTAGTAACTACCAGACAGACTTGAGTAAAACCGTAATAGAGGAATTAAAATTATACCTAAGTGAACAACAGCAAAAAAGAGTATATGTATGAGTTATGCCCAAACTCATCCATGAGACAGTACTTTTATTGCACATTCTGCAGATTAATGTGTTAAATATATAGTAAAATTTGATGTACATACCTTTTTTGTTATTATCTGCTTAATGTATATATAGGCTGAAATGAAACTACAGAATTCGATGTCACTATGAACACACAGAAAACAGATTGCACTCTGTATCTCAGCCACAATGCAATTGTCTGTTCACAACCATAGAAAGGGCAATAATCTCTTGCAGCTATAACAGAAGGTCTTAGCACTGAAGAAGGGACCCCTTTAGCTCTTTTTCTTGAGTAGCCATTCTTTCATTCTTCTGTCCTTTAGTCAAAAGATTTCAAACTCTGAAGGGTGTAACAAGATGTAAGGTTTTCCAGCAAAGAACCAAATGATTTTATTGCTTCCATCTGCCTTATGACACCAGGGTCTGTTAAAATTTGTCAAGTGTTACAAACAGAAATGAATTTATAATGCAGAACAACTCTGTGAAGAACTGGGAAACCATTTTTGCTGTATATATTAAAATTGAAACAAACAAAAAAAAAAAATAGAAAATAGAGTACAATTCTTTGTATAAACATTTTCAAATCTTCTGTTATAATATGCAAACTATGTTCTTTGCTGATACAACAAAGTTACTTCCATCCATTTATCATAAAAATTGTGTTAGATACAGCATTTTTAAACACAATGCTTAAAATTGTTTAAGCGCCCTAACAGGAACAGACATTCAAATGCAGAGTAGCAACAGGTATTAAAATGTGCACCAGCAGCAGGCATTTAAATAAACTCCGGCCAGCTAAAGCTTACCACCATTTCAAAAGTCTGGCATTTAAAAGTTAACGGACCTAACTAACCTGAGAATATGTTGACTGATGGCTCTCATGCATACTCATGCTGACATCATCTTGCTCCTCCTCTGAGCGAGAGAGAATTTTGCTGATGTTGCTGAATACATGACTCCTGGAAACAACCATGTTAATTTATGCTTTCTTTTATTCAAGGAAGATGAGGTTGTTGCATACAGTATAAATTGTATTACTGTATAACAATACCATATGAGAAGTGTGAAGTTGATAAACATAATGCAATATTACAGAGAGTTTTTAAATTTGTTGACCAGTTCTACAGCTCTGTGCTTCACAGCAACTGGTGTGTTGCTTGGTGCAAGGCACACATGAATTTTACTGATGAATCAGCATGCCTGATGACCAATAACGTTCAGAATGAAGGGAAGTAATTAAATTGTGGACCATTTGATGGCATTATATTTCACAGTGAGTAGTGCAGTTCATGTGTGTGAGTTTGTTTATGATTTGTCAGTAGTAAGCAGCAGTTATCAGTTCCATTAGCCATTTGTTCTCAATTACGGTTAGTGAGAAGTGTAGTACATCATGGTGTAGTATATTATAGAACAATGTATATGACACCCATGTGAAATATGGATTGCTAGAAAGCGTCAGCAAAAATTTTGACATCAATTTTGTGATGAAAGAGTTCCCAATAGACAAACAATTCACAATTTGGTGAATAAACTTAAAACAAAGTGACTCTTAATAGACAAGAAACAAAAAAAAAAAAATAAGTGCTGAGTGCTTACTGAGGAGAAGTAAGATAACACAGGGGCCAGACTGAAACATACATACACCTAGAAAAACAGTGAAACATCTAGCTCAAGAGACTGGGCTGTCAGAGTCTAGTGCAAGAATGGCAACACAATCACCTAATCTTAGACCCTACAAAACAATAATAATCTATGCCTTGCAGACATGTAATTCAGCTAGCAGGGTTCATTTTTGAACTTAGTTTCTACAGTCTGTCGTTGAAGTTGAGATTGCTCTGCAGATGACGTTCTTTCCTGATGAAGCGTTGTTCCACTTGCAGGGTACATAAATATACAAAACAATCACTACTGGAGTTCACAGAATGCACGTCTAACCCATAAAGCCCCGCTTCATCCAGTGAAAGATGATGTGTGGTGTGCTGTTTAACAAAAAATTAATTTACATGTAGATATTTACATGTAGAGGGACAGCATTTTCAACACCTCCTTTGATCTGTGAATTGTAGCTACTTCATTTTGAACATCATTGGCCGTGAGGCATGCTGATTCATCAACAAAATCCATACGTATCTTGTGGCAAGTGATGCACTGTTTGCCATGAAGCACAGAGCCATGGAACTGGTCAACAAAGTAAAAATCCTTCCTGTATAATATAAAAGGGAATGACAAAAGAAACCTCATAGAGGAGATCAGGGTAGAATAGCATGCAGCCCACTGTGCAGCAGTCATCAATAAGGCTAAACACTCTGGAAAGCTCAAATGAAGATGCATTCTTTATGACAATGAATCTATATCCACATATACTAGCAAACACCATCACATGCATGTTATACTGAATGCAATAGAAATTGGAAATTCCTGTACATAGTCTGAATCTCTCCCCTGCAGTAATCATACTCTGGGGGCCTCAAGGTACTCAGGAGACATCAAATGACTCAGCATTAACACGTAGCAGGCTGTGAGTGGATAGGCTTTGTCAACAGACTACACAATTCTATGCTAAAAGCATATAACATTTGTATGTCTCAGTGTTTATATGACAGTATGACTGAGACAAGTACTTCGGTTTCCCCTGCCACTCTTCATTCCACCAAATTCTCCATCATCATAATCACCTGGGGCAGGATACAATAGGCCAATCAGTGGCCACTGTGCCGAGTGGACCCAGTTGGACTCCACCCCCCACTAAGCAAATGACTGAGCCAAAAGAGATCTCCTGTAACTGCCACAGGGTAGATTTCTGTTGAACTTCTCTTACAATACAAGGCAAAACAAATGCTGACCTGGATGTAAGGAGATTATTTATTTTACTGACAAAAATCAAATATAGACACATATATAAAAGGTAATTATAAACTTATGTGATACCTTCAAACATTACTTGCTTCACTGTAATAAAGGTTAGGGATATAAATCAATTCTAGGTGTTTCTGATGATGTTAGCATTGGTGGGTTTCTGAACATGATCAGTCTTCTAGTATTCTTAGCAGAACATAGTGTTTTTGAAAAAATCTGTTTCTGTCTTCAGATGAATTGTCAGGAGGCACCTACTAGGTTCATTCAGTCAGAAAGGGTCATTGTCAGTCACTGGACAACCCAACACCTAGCAGCAGGTTGGTAAGTTCTGTTCTATTCAGTTGGGTTAGAAGAACTGCAGTATGTAGCAGGGAAAGCATGGCTTGTTTTCTTGCTTTCTTCTTTTCATACTTTATCCAGTTTTATTTTGTCCACTAATTTTCTTGTTTACTAAAGAACAGTTTTAATATTCATTATTTATTTGTTTCACATGCAAGTTTATGTGCAACTGTTATTAACCTGTATGTGGACTACATTTTATATTTATTTCAATCATTTGCTTGTATACATCCGGCTTCTTCTGAGGCTTTTCATTGCCTGAAAATGAATAAGAGATGGTAACCATATCTTTCACTTTCCAGTGATAATCACATATAATTCTGATGGATAAATCACACACTGACCTGTGTAAGAACATGTGATCAGATTGTGTGAAGCGAAGTCCCCAACATCTGATGGCCATCTGCTGAAGTGCTGAGCCCATAGGAAGCAACAGCATGAGATCTGCTATTGTCTGTAGCAGAGTGTGGAATGTAGAGGGAAGAGGATGAACAGCTTCCCCAGCAATACTAATATCACTCAGTGGGTGCTCACATACACCACGCAAATCCTGGAAATGGCATCCAGAAAAGAACCATCTTTACCTATTATGTATTATGAAATAATGAATACTTTAAAACAACACTTGTAACTAATAAATACACGTACAGCTTTTTGACTTGGCCTAAATTGAGAGTATGAGTATAGCTACCGACCAGTTTGGCAAAACATCCTCCTTTCATGGTAACTGCAATTTGGCTCAGTTACATAAAGAATGTTTGAACAAATGTCAAAATTAGCAAAATGTAACATCAGCCATGTAGTTATCATTGTGCTTTTATGTTGTTGCATAAAGTCACATCCAGAACAGGATGATCCTTAGCACATGCTTCTTCTGCCTAATCGCCTGCAATATGAAATTTAACCATGTGTTGGGCTTAACTCTGAATGCTGAAATTGAATTTTTAACTATGAAATACATATATTGTGCTTGACTCACAAAAGTGGCAGGGAATTCAAAACTATAAAAAGCAATCATGATAATTTTCTGCTTCCATATAAGAAAACAACCAATTCCATGAACAAAGAGAGGCTGTAGTATGTCTATAGCTTCTTGCAAAAGACTACTAAAAATTCTTTGTGCAGGCTGCAGCAAAGAACCTGACCATTTTTAAAATGCATTATGTTGGCAACCCCTGAGGATGAGATGGTGAGAACCATGCCATATTCTAGCTTAACTGCAACCAGAGACAATACCTGCGACTGATGTCATTGTAGTAGCCATGGAGCAGTACAGTGTTCAACGTCATACTCGTACATTTATTCTTAAAACGTTTTTCTTAAAACTGTGCGTAGAAAACTCCAGAACTAATGCTTCTGCATTAAAACATAAACAAAGTGGTGTGCATAAAGTGCAATCACTACAGAACACTGAGGCTGTGAGGCAATCATTCATTATCAGTCCCAGGTGTTCAACTAGTGGACATTATGTTGCTCCAGAAACATCCAAGCACAGAATGAGGAGAATTTTACACAAGGACCTAAATTTCTATCCATACAAAATGGTACTGCTGCAAGAGTTTAGTGGTTGTGACATGACAAATTGTAGCACAGTAGCTGAGCAGAATTTTGTCCAACAGTGTCATTATCCTTACAACAGATGACGCACACTCACACTTATTTGGCTGTGACAACAAACAGATTTTTCGCTACTGGGCAGAAGAAAATTCACAGCAGCTCCATCAATGGACTCTTAACAATACATCTGGTGTGAAATTACAAACTTCAAAGCCATGGGCCCTTATATCTTTGAAGATGGGTATGCAGTTACAGTCACATCTGCTCCTTACATTGAAATGTTACAGAACTTCTTCACACCAGAACTGAGTCATCATGGAAGTGAGCTCTCAACCATATGATACCAGCAAGATGGTGCAAGAGCTTATACAGTGAGGGCATCCATGGAGGCTGTTCGCGAAATGTTTCCGAAGTATGTTATTTCACTCTGTGGTGAGCTCATATTGGCCTGCATGTTCACCTGATGTATCCACCCATGATTATTTTGTTTAGGGATACCTCAAAGCAGAAGTGTACACCACTAGACCACAGACCATAATGACCTCAAGATCACAATTCGGAAGCAGATTTCAGTGATGTCAGAAAACATGGTGCGTAAAAAACTGGGAAACATGTGAGCAAGGTTTGAAGAGTGTGTGTGCAATGATGGGCAACATCCTAGTGATTTGCTCTTCGAAACAAGATAAACAGAGACATAATGAAATATACACATATGTGTAATACTTGTAAAAGGTATTCAGTCTTCATTAGTTTTGTAACATTAAATTAAAAATTAAAACAAAATTTCACTGCTTTATATATTTTTGAAAATCGGTACTGCAAAGCTGTTCTCTGTATGATTTATTAATTAACTACAATTGCATCATTTCTTCTACCTGCACTGTACTACGCCAAATTGCAACTCTTGGAATTGGGCTAAGTGCACATCTCTGAAATTCATGTGCTATGTCACTTTAATACTATCAATTGATTGGGAAATTATAACAAGATCCTTTCTCACTCACATGCTCATCCTTCTTGTCTGTTCTGTTGTTGTCCTCCTCACCCTCACTATCAGGGTCAGGAGCAGCTGGCATAAGAGCAGCTACAAACCACCACAGCAGATCATGAAGGCATGCAGGCTGAGTAACACTTCTAAGAAGCCAATTCAAAGCCTATCAAGAAAGAAAGAAATATAATTTCATGTAAAAATGCCAAATTAAATTGTGTTGACTAGGACTCTGCACTTTTAAACTGCTTGATACTTTCCTTGGACTGTGGAAGGTATTTAATACAACATATCTCTCTCTCCCCCTTGTTGGTGTCTCCACCTTATCGTGGTGAGGGGTTTGAATATGCCAAGGACCCTGAGAGCTATACCAGCGGTAGCGTAGCTACTGGCAGGGCCTCCCTTGCTGGACAGGCCAAAGGGTAGGCATCAGACGAAGAGAGACACCAAAAACTGATGCCGGAAGCAGCGTCATCAGCAGTGACTTGAAGCACAGAGCAAATGATGCTCCAGATGGTTCAAGTTCGTATAGCAGCAACAGGCATGACCAGAGTGGTTTGAATGGCTGCTGTACTGCGATGTGGAAAGTAAATGGAAAAACTACCATGTTATCACTTTTCCTGGATAGTCTCTTTCCTAAAACAGAGATACCACGTATGCGAGATGTTTCCTCTGGAGACAAAACAGTCCGGACGTAAACTACTCCCCCAATCTGATCTCCGGGGGGGGAGTGTTTCTAGAGGAAATGTCATGCAGGTGTTACAACAAGAAAAAATGCGAAGATCAGAAGGAACATCATGGCTACAAGATTGGAACATGGAATGCAAGGACCTTGAATCAAGCAGGCAAATTGGAGAATTTGAAAATGGAAATGGAGAAGAATGAGGTGTATGTTCTAGGTGTCAGCGAAGTGCGGTGGAAAGGACAAGGCGAAATAAGAAGTAGGTGATTATACAGTGTATTATTCCGGAGGTGAACGGGCTGAAAGAGGTGTGGCAATAGTGGTGCATAAAAGTGTAGTGAGGAGTGTTGTTAAGAAGATTGTTTGTAATGACAGAATTATTGCTCTGAAG